TCTGTCCATCCATTCACTCATCCATCTATCCTTCCATCCGTCCATCCATCCTTCCTTCCATCCATTCACTCATCCATCTATCCTTTTGTCCGTCCATCCATTCATCCATCCATCCATCCTTCCTTCCATCCATTCACTCATCCATCTATCCTTCCATCTGTCCATCCATTCATCCATCCATCTATTTATCCATCCAATCATCTTTCCAATCATTCATCTATCCATCCATCTATCCATCCATGCATCCAGCACGATTGTTCACTCTCAGCGCCAGGAACCTTTCTGCTTCCATGAGTACTATTCAGAGAGCTAGAGCACCCACACTCTTGACATGCTCCACCCTGAATCCTGTTGATTCTGCCTCTAAAATGTGTCTCAACTCAGTGTGTACTTGCCCGTTTCATTAACAATGCCCAAGACTAGTCTCTGCTCAACTGTTTACATGGGTCTCTCAGGGACCCTATGCCTCCTATCCCAGTCCATCTGCTATCTTGCTGCCGGAGAGCATTCTGGTCACCCACCCCTCCTCCTCCTTGCTCACAGGTGTGGTTTCAATGCCCTTCTTCTTTGACCCCCAGCTACCTCTCTCTTTTCCTCTGGTGACCTCTCCCAGCCAGCCTACTCACCATCTGACTGAGGGCCCGGGAGGAAATGGGCAGGGGGTGTTGGGTTAACCCTGGGCACCATGAGTGAACAGTGGCCGGGTTCAGGGTGAGGTGGGGAGGCATGAGTTACCAGACCCTGCTGGAGGCAAGGGCAGAGGAATGTGCTATTTGAGGGAGGTCCGGTGGGATCTTGGAGGAAGCTGTGCTAAGCATGGATGGAGGAGGACACAGCAAAGGGTAAGGACCCAGCAATGAGCAGACTGAGATTTCTGGGATTCCTTGGAGACCTCTATGCCTCCACACTTGCCTCCCTCTCCCCACCGTCTTTGCTCCTCCACCGCCCACCATACCTCCGCTCTCCTGCAGGCATTGATAGGTGTGCTGCCGGAGCCGCCAACATCTGTGGGCCTGGAACCTGCGTGAACCTCCCAGATGGATACAGATGTGTCTGTAGCCCCGGCTACCGGCTACACCCCAGCCAGGCCTACTGCACCGGTACAGACCCTGATGTCCTGACCTCCTTTGTGGCTGGGGGACATGGGAACAGGACAGGGGACTGAGTTGAATGCCCAGGCTGCAGGAGCACTGATCCACTAGTGATGCCTGTGTGAATGGGTCAGTGCAGGGGGGTCGGGGCTCTATGGACCAAGCTCACCATAACCCTCAGGAAAAGACTGGTGTTTGTGGCCCCATCCGCTGAGGCCCAGGAACAGTGGGAAACCACACCATCCCCAAGCTCAGCCCACCCAGGTGGGCCCTCAGGATAAATGTCTCCCCAGGGCTGTCCTGGGAAGAGGGTTTCAGGCCCAAGATAGAGCTTCAAGTGTGGCCCAACCCTCCCCTCACCCCAGTATTTTTATATAATTGTTTCCCACAAATGTCAGCTCCTTTGGCCTGGAGCGATTGAGCCCATTTAGTAAGCACTCCAAGTGAGGCCGAGAGAAAGACTTCTATTGTATCAGGAGGCTAGCCACCGGGGCATCCTTCCAGCCACCGTGGATGCTCGGGTTCTCCTATGTCCCCATGTGAGATTGACACTGATCTTCTCTAGCAATGCCAACTACAGAGTACATGGGTGATAATGTCATGTTATCTACAACCGACTGCTCCTTCTCAACAGGACAGAAGGACCGAGAAAGCTGGAGGTGTTACTTGGCCTCTCGAGGCCTTCAGACAGCAATAAACATGCCAAACTCTGGTTGAACCCTGAGGGTGTAGTGCTTATGTATTGGGCTGAGAGCTGCAAGGTCAGCTTTAGAAATCACCAGCTGCTTTGCAGAAGAAAGACAGGGCTTTCTACTCCTGTAACCAGCGACAGTTCCGGAAACTCGCTGGGCTTGCCTTGGAGGGTCACCAGGAGTTGGCATCAACTCAACAGCAGTGAGTGTTGAACCCTTGGAGAAGGTCAACACACGTGATGACAAATAAACAACATGGACTCAAGAACTGCCGGCCATCGAGTCAATGCCCACTCACAGTGACCCAATAGGACAGGGCAGAACCGCCCCTGTGGGTTTCCGAGACTGGAACTCTTTAGGGGAGTAGAAAGCCTCATCTTTCTCCCACAGAGGGGCTAGTGGTTTTGAGCTGCTCACCTTGGGGTTTGCAGCCCAACACATAACCCACTATGCTACCAGGGCCCCTGGTTTCATCAACCCAAAATGGCTACGGTCTCACTACTCTCCACTCAGACAAGGATGCACTGGTTTAAATGAGCACCTGCTATGGCCGTGGAGGGGGTGGTCAGGGAGTCAGGTGGAGGCGACTTGATGCGGAGTGGAGCTTGTGGGCCACCTGTGAGGTGTCCAGCCACAGAGGCTCCTCTCTCTCTGGCCCCTCGTCTCCCCTCATCCCTCCTGGCTCCCCAGCATGACACACTGCGCACCCCCCTCGTGGGAGAAGTGTGTTGGTAGCTGAGAGGCACAGTGTGCCTCCCTGACCTCGCCTCCCCTCTGACTCAGATGACAACGAGTGCCCGAGGGACCCCTGTGCAGGGAGAGGCCGCTGTGTCAACCGTGTGGGCTCCTATTCCTGCTTCTGCTACACTGGCTACCTGCTGGCCACTTCGGGGTCCGGGCAGGAGTGCCGGGGTAAGCTGGGCCTGCCCTCCCCCCTCCCCAGGCGCTCACTGCTCCCTTCCTGGTGGGGGCCCTGCTCCGCCAGGCTTGGGGCTGATAAGGACACACTTGGTGTAGATGGGGGTAGAGGAAGAAGCGGGTGTTTTCCACACCAGCCACCGTGCTGCATTGTGGGACAGCGAGGAGGATGGATGCAGAGCCCCGCTGAAACCAGGGTTCACAAAGGCCCCCTGAGCTGTGACCGCAGAGCAGGTGTCTGGACCCTGCAGGGGGCGAGGCTGGAGATGGAGTTGAAAAGCCAGGGCCACACCCTCTGGCTGATGAGGGGCTGCTTTCATCCTGGGAAAAGAGGGTGACCCAGTAGGACCTGGAGCAGGGGTGCCCAGCAGATGGGGGCGGGTGGGCGAGCAGGACTCCCAGCAGATGGAGGAGTAGGGCCTGCCTTTGTAAGCGGATCTCCTGCTCCCACATGAGGCCTGGTCTGACCTCTTTATTTTCTAAATGCTGCGAGGCTCATTACTTTGCTTGTTGCTGGTCAGGTGAGCCGCTTGGGGGTTTCCTCGTCTGTATGGTATCAGGAAAGCCCAGTCCCCAGAGAAGGACATCATGCGTGGCAGGGTAGTGGGACAGAGAAAAAGAGGCAGGCCCTTGACCACAGGGGCAGACGTCGCTTTTGAAGCTTTATTTAAGATGTTTGTCCCAGCCTGAGGTCACCGAGGCTCCCCTCCGGGATCTCCGACCAAGGTCACCGTTTCCCCTTTCTGAGTCAACCTTGGACCCTGCGGAAGGTGGGGATGAAGACCTGTGTCCTCTTTCTCCCTCAAATGAGACCCCTCCCCAGCCTCACCCATCAGGCCATCCCACGGTCCCGTGGACTTGTGGGTCCTGCCTCCTAGATTCCGTGAAGATTGGAGTTTTCTCAGCGTAAGGACCACTTATTTCAGAATTGGCGGGGCAGTGATTGAAAATGCAGGTTCCTGGGCCAGGAGTTGTGGGTGTGTGCCCAAGAACGTCCACTTTCATGCTCTCTGCCAGCGGCCTGGCCTCACGCCGAAGCATCGTTTAGATAGAAACACCATCAACAAACAAAAGGGCCGTTATCTGGTGTATTCCATCAACAGCAAGGTTTACCCCATAAATGAACCAGGCACGTCCCGAGCCCTGGCATCAGGGTGAGGGGACAGCTGGGAGAGTCCAGGGGGTTGTCCGGAGAGCAGCCTCCTTGGGCAGAATGCTCTGAGATTCAGCAGCACCTGCACTTGGTCCGCCTCAGACCTCACCCAGGGGCCTCTGCAACCAGCGGCAGCCGCAGCAAGGATGCCCTTCCTGCCTGAGCCCCGATTGGCATGGCCTCCGGGCACGGGCCCCACTCTGGACTCTTCTGTGTGTTCGTAGACATAGACGAGTGTGAGCAGCCTGGCGTGTGCACCGGGGGGCGGTGCACCAACACAGAGGGCTCATACCACTGCGAGTGCGGCCAGGGTTACATCATGGTCAGAAGGGGACACTGCCAAGGTAAGGGAACAGGAATCAGGAGGGCAGCCTGCTACCCACCCCATCTCCCGGGCCCGCCCTTTCTAGCTGATCTCCACCCGGACCCCTTGAGGCTGAGCCCACTCCTGTGGGCAGTGACACATCTGGGGCTCCTGAGTCTTCTGGTGTCTCTCGGTGACATTGGGGCTTCCTGTCTGCCCCCTGCAGTAGGCCAGGGTCGAGGACCTTTATCCCCAAAGCATTCTTTCTGCCTCTGCGACATCCCCCACTTGGCCCAAGTTGGCCCTGGGACACATCTGCCCGTTGCTTGGAAACGCTGCTCTCCTCTCGGGGCTGCGAGTCACCTGGGTCCTCAGCCTTCTTCCTACAGCCTGTTGGACTGTGGGCTCCTTGGGGGCCGGGTCATCTGCACAGATGACTCCAACTTGGGCGAACGACAAGCACTCAACAAATCTACGTCGAGTGGGAGAAGGAGCCAGTGAGTCGGTGACCGAGCGAGGGGACCCAGACCCCGCCCCTGCTTCCCCAGGACCAGCCAAAAGGCGGCCACCACGTGCCACCTGGCCTCCTCACACACTGGTGGAGCCTGCTCTTCTCAGCCCAGCTCTGAAAACCCACTGGCAGTTTCTGCCCCGCGCCCCCCACCCGCCCGCCAACCGACAGGAAGGGGTGTCCGGTGCCTGCAGGAGGCCTGGGTCATGGGCTCCCAAGACAGGCCGAGGCAGGAGTCAATGAGGCTCAATCAAGGCTTGCTCTGGAAAGAAATCCTCTTCTGGGTCTGAGCTTAGAAATCCCAGCATCCAGGTTTCTCGGGTCAGAACTTGCCTGGTTCCCGAAGGCCCTGGAGGCCCCGGCAGGGTGAGCTTGTGAAGCAAGACCATCCTTCCTCCCACTACCACCGTGGTTTCGAAGACGGGAGTCTAGAAGGCCTCAGTAAAGAAGTGGGGTGGAGCTTTCACCGTGGACACCAGGCTTTCTATGCCAGTGTCGCCTAGCCTCTTTCAGTGGGGACCTTTCCTGGTGTTCCCCCTTTCAACCCGAGACCCAGATATGGCCGCAGCCTGGACATTTCGAGCGAAAGGAGAGGAAGGCTGTGTGCCAGGGACTTGATGCATGGCCTGATCTAAGCGTCACAACAGCCTCAGGCATGTGACCTTAGACTGTGTTATAAAGGAAAGGAAAGCTGGCAGAGAGGAGCCAAGACCTTACCAGAAACATGAAAGATGTCTGACTTAGGAAATACTTGCTCACCAAGTAAGTCCGAGGGCAGGGTGCAGGTTCTGGCGTAGACAAGCTTGGGTCCGGCTCTTATCTCTGAAAACGGAGGTCATCATGTCCATCGGGGGTCGGGTAGGGGTGGGTGTCTGGTGGCACAGCGCCTAAGTGCTTGCCTGTGAACCACAGGAGAAAGGTGGGGCCGTCTGCTCTCCTAACCATTCCAGCCTAGAAACCTGATGGGGCGGGGCGGGGCGGGGCAGGTCCACTCTGCCCTCCAGGGTCCCTGTGAGTGGAAATGGACTTGACGGCAGTGAATTCCCTTTCTGGATGTTACCTAATGCCCGTCTCAGAGCCCCTGGTGAAAACCAAACCGCAAGTATGGACCAAGTGCTTCGCATGGCCTCTGGCACCTACAGACGCTGAGTACAGAGAAGGTCTTTACCATTTTACTGAATAAGTAATTCATGAATAAACAAAAATAAAACAAATCCGCTGCCATCAAGGCCATGGCAACTGCTAGCCACCCTATAGAACAGGTAGACCTGCCCTGTGAGTGTCCAAGAATGCAACTGTTCACCGGAGTCGGAAGCTCTTGGAGCTACTGGTGGTTTAGAATGGCTGACCTTGAGGGCACGACCCACCTGTCCTGGGTCCTCATGCTTGCTCACACCTAGACGCCACCCCCACCCCCACCCCCAGGCCCACCCAGTCTGCAGGATTGTCTCCTACGCTTCCAGAGGGAAGCTCTGGTCGCCCGCCTCAGCAGGGAGGTCAGGCGGAGTTCCAGGCCAGGGCGGCCGCGTGGAGTCTGTTGAAAGAATGACGTAGAGCGTTCACTTCCCCAGTTTTCCATCCGTTACCACAGGCCTGGCCCAGTGTTCCGGGAGCCCAGTCCATTTCCTGTCTCTCTTTCTTCTCTTGCCAACAAAGAAACCACACTCTCCACTTCAAACTCAAGGCCTGTGTGGTCAAGGGCCCCAGTGGTCTGGAGAGGGGTCCACGTGACTGTCTCCATGGCCTGTCTATCCTGCCAGGGCTCTGGGTTCCCGGGGACAGGGATTGGATTCCCCTGCTGACTGCCTGGATCTTTGCTGTCCTCCCTCCCTATCCAAGATTGCCTGAGCTCCCTCACCCCACCCCACCCCCGGCCCCCGGCCCTACCCCCATTCTATCATCAGTCAGAATCGGACGTGGTGCCTTCATATTTCCTCTAGAGCAGGCTGACGCCCCAGTCAGCTGTGGTCTCAGCATACCAGTACAGGAGGCAGACTCGACTGCCTCTCCTCCTGGTGTTTCCTTCCATGGTGCCTCGGGTCCTCTTCAGCAGCCTCGCCCCAAGAGGGTGGTGAGTGACGTGTAAGACACATGGTTCTGTTCTTTGGTCACCACCTACTGACTGGCAGACACGTGCCAATCATGTGCTGGGGAGCCAGCAACAAAGAAGAGCGATTGCGCCTGCCCCCAACCCCCTGTTAGAACATTCCAGGGCCGTAGATAAACTCTAAACCCTAGGCTAAGCAGGCAATCTGCAGCCAGTGACAGGCCTTAGTCCCAGCACCTGATTGGCCTAACAGCCTCCGAAAATCTGGTCACAGGACCCATTTCATCCCAATTCTTCCTCTGGCCCATGGTGATTGATCGGCTGGGCCTGGCTTAGGTGGAGACCAGGGGCTACTCCTGTCCCATTCCCTCCCTCTCCCAGGTGCTAATAGGTCTTCCTGAGTGATAGTCCCTGGCTGCCAGCCATGGTGTACTGGGGTAGGCTGCATTGTGTGGCATGAACAAATTGTCCCTATTCTCCAGGAGTTAGAACAGCAACAGGTTGATCACCCTGGTGCTACCCCTGGGCCAGCGGGGGACCCTGCCCCGGGTCTCCTCACTCTAGAACCAGGCTTCAGGAAACCAGTGTCTCAAAGGTGGCCAGTTTCCACCGAAGGAAGAAAGAGACAATTAAACGCATGTCATATCTACTCACCACATATCAGCCAGCACTGGGCCTGTGGCCACACCCAATCACAGGGCCGGGAGTCCAGTCCGACACGGCCCAGGATGTGGGGGAGATGGAACTAGTGAGTGATCAGCCAGTGACACATGTCTCCTGCCCGATGCAGGACACTTGGAGCGCCAACCCCAGAAGCTATGCTGGGGCAGATGGACGTCTGGTTTCTGTCCGACGTCACCTGATCCCTGGGAAAGACGGCTAAACACTTTGTTTTTCCTCGACCTAGTCTGAGGTGGCTCCTAGCCTCAGACTTTTGTCTCTTCACATCTGAAACCTCGCACCCGTGAAGCAGGGTGTGCTGACCGTTCCCAATGACGTTGTCCAACCTCATTACTGCCCGAGTCGAGGCTACTAGGACACAGCTGCTCTCTCCTGGGTGCCAAAGTGGGTGGTCCTGCATGCTTCGTTCCTTCGAGCCCTGCCTCATGCGCTCCCCGTCTCATTACAGAAACTGTAGTTTCGCCCGGTGTCTCCACAGCCCAGCCTGGGGCTCTTGGCTGCCCTCTCCAAAGAGAGCCTCATCTTGGGGGTCCCCGAGATTGACCCACAGCTGCTCGAGAGAGCCCTGAGTCTCCCTTGGCCAACTCTACTCTCTGGATGGCCCCCTGCCCAGTGGGACGTCACGCAGCTCTGTCCCTCTTGTCGCCCTGGTTGCTTGGCCAGGGCCCCCCACCCCACCAGAGTGAACCTTTAGGCTTGTGGGCCTAGTCCCCTGGGACAGAGAGCTTTGCTGCGTCTGAACTTCTGTAGGAGGAGGTTCACGTTCACGGCTTAGCTCAGGTTCTATGTTCAAGTTTGCAAAGATAGTCGTTAGGTTTTAGCCCTTTCTAGAAAGCCTGTGTTCTGACCCTTGACCCTGCTTCCTACGTTCCAGAAGTGTGTTCTTCTGTTCTCCTGCCTGGGTGCTAAGTAGATCTTCTTCAGAGGCTGAAGAGGTTTCAGTCCAGAAGAAAGAGGTTAACAGTCTGGAAAGAAGAAATCCTGCTTCTTCTGAAGCTTAGTCATGAGAGGTCATGGGGAACTTGACAGAGCAGTAACAGCCCCAGGGTTTGGTGCCTGTAATCGACTCTCCCTAACCTCGCCCAGGTACCCTGGGGTGTTTGCCCTGGTAGGCTCCCAGATACCAGGGATCATCAGGAAGAATCCTGCCTGCAGCTCCTGGGAGCAAAGCCTCCCGCCTCTTTCTCCTCGCCCCTCTCCTCCTGCTCATTGTCCCCTCTGTCCCTTGCCTGCCTGATGGTGCTCAGACTCTTCCTTTCTGGCTGAGGTCTCACCAGAATGGGCATCGGGCACTTTACTACGTGGAAGAAAGGTCTGACGCTGCTCCAACAGGGGCAGCTTGCCAACCTCGACCCCAAAGCCCGTTCTAGCCTCAAGGCTAGACTTGGTTGGCCACATCCAAGAGTGAGTACTCTTCCTCCAGCCATGTTTCTGCCGCAGGGAAGCCCACTCTGCCTGTACTGAGCCCTCTGGCAATCCCCCAATGATTGCTGGGCCAAGCCCACCCACCCCAGGAATAGCCATCACTTGTAAAGACCAGGACTTCACCAAGGGAGACATGAAGGCCTGCCCCAAACAGTCCCAGTTTACAAAGTAGAGCTCTCTATTCCTCCCACACCTACTCATAACCACAGCTACTGCACCCACCCAGGGAGTCTCCCTGCTGAATGTTTAAATCCTTCCATCTCTCCCTTTTGTCCGGGACAGTGGGCGGGCAGGGGCGTTAATGAGCAGAGCTTGAGAACACAAGTCAACTCTCACTCTTTCCTATTTTCATTTGCATGGGAACTGACCTCTCTCTGCCCAACCCAGGGCAGGGTCAAGGATTTGCTTCCTCATAGGCCCGCTCCTGTGCCATGGTTCCCAGGGACGACCTAGGGAGGGGCTGTTATTTTGCAGATATCAACGAATGCCGTCATCCTGGTACCTGCCCTCATGGGAGATGCGTCAATACCCCGGGCTCCTACACTTGTCTGGCTTGTGAGGAAGGCTACCGGGGCCAGAGTGGGAGCTGTGTAGGTGAGGACCAACCGACCGCTGGCCAAGGCACCGAGAGGGCTATTTGGCCTTGGGGCCTCTGGGCGAACACAGCCATGGGGAAGGACAGAGGTGGGCAGAGGGAAGCAGTGTGGAGTATCTTGTCCTCTGTGATCTGACTAGTCAACTAGGTCATGCTGGGCATGAGATGGGGGGGTGCTTCTGTTCCCTTTGCTCTGCCCTCCGAATCAGCGGGCGTGGGGGCTCCTTCTGCCCTTTGGCCTTCGCCAGCCAGGAGCTACAGCTCAAGGGCCTAGCCGTTTCTGTGGCCGGATGCTATTGGGTGGGACGAGGATGAGGCTGGCCATGGCGATGTGAGCCAGGAGCCAGGCCCATCTGCAGTTCCCAGGGGGGGGGGGGGGGGGTGTCTTCTGTTCTTCTGCATCTAAACAGGAGTGCCTGCCTTCGCTGCTCCAGAGGGGACCGTGCGTGGGCCAGCAGGGGGAGGGGTCTTTCCTTTCCTCTCTGCCCCCGCAGGAAGAGGGCCCACGCTCCAGAATGCCAGTGGTGGGGGCAGGGTGGGCCCTGAGTTTTGAATAGATGCTTTGAGACGCTGAAGAGGGCAGACATTTCCCAGGGCCTTGAGACTGCCATTCGGCCGGCCATCCAGGCCTGACATGGCCCCTTCGAGTTGCCCAGCCACCGCAGATGATGGTGGGACTGGGAGCATGGGCTCCCAGTGGGTGGGCACGCAGGAGGCCAGAGAGGTTCAGACCCACTGTGAAGTGGGATCCCGGATCTGGAACAACTTGCCCGAGGCACCCGCACGTAGACGCATTGAGCTCCAGGGGCTGGGCTGTGTGGCCTCTGTTTCGAGGACCTATGCAGGGTGCTCTGTGTCCCTGGTGTGGACGTGAGCTTGGGCGTGGGCGGAAGTGGTGGCTGAGGAGAGGGAGTCTGGCCTCCCCAGAGTGACCTGTGGCCTCCCTGAAGGCTGGTCTGCCGGCCTCACGCTTGAGATGCTCCGCACTTGTGGATGGGGCACCCGCAGGGTGATATCGAGAGGCCAGCCTCCACCTTGGAGTTCTTGTCCACAGATGTAAATGAGTGCCTGACCCCCGGGGTCTGTGCCCACGGAGCGTGCCTCAACCTGAACGGCTCCTTCCGGTGCTCCTGTGAGCCAGGTTACGAGAGTACCTCAGATGAGAAGGGGTGCCAAGGTACAAAGCCCCGACACGCCGTCCTCCTCCAGACCCCAGCCAGTCCAGCCTGGGGCTTCTCCTCTGCGCACCCCCTTCCCCTATCCACTTCTGGTCCCCTATCCCAACCGTGCTAGTCCCGCCCCTCGCCCTGCCTGTCCGTCCATCTCTGGGGCCTGGGGCGCCACGGTTCCACGCACAACCCCACCCAGCACCCAATGGCCCGTTTCAGATGTCGATGAGTGTGCCCGCCGGACCGCATGCCCCACCGGCCTTTGCCTCAACACACAGGGCTCCTTCGCCTGCTCGGCCTGTGAGAGCGGGTACTGGGTCAATGGGGCCGGCACAGCCTGCGAAGGTGATTCTGGGGTGGTGGGCAGGCATGTGGGAAAGGGAGGAGCAGAGGACACAGGCCTTCAAATCTCCCAAAGGACATTCCAACTCTGGGCTGGCCCGTGATGGAAGCCACCCAGAGGAGAGGCCATCCCTGAAGCTGAGAGGGTCTTCAGGTTGGGCCGGAGGCCCCTCTAAAAGGACTTTGCCCAGGGGCAGGAACACCCAGTAAACAAAGTCAGCACGGGCTTACTTGTGCTTACTTATTAATCTTTGATGGGGCAAAGTGACTTGGTCCCAAGTGACTTGGTCCCAAGAAGAACTGCCAGGGTCAGAATCCCCCAAGTCCAGAGGAGGGGACATGAGACCAAGGGAGTCACAGAGAGGTACCAGGGGGCGTTCTGGGCAGGGATGTGTGATGGTGCCTTACATGCAGCAGGCCCACAGCAGGCCCTTCCCCAGAGGCCAGAGCATGCCCCAGAGGAGCAGAGCAGTGGGGTGGCAGGTCCTGGTCAGGTGGGGCCATCTGACTGCTGTCTGACGCCCCAGACCTGGATGAATGTGCCTTTCCGGGAGTCTGCCCCTCGGGGATCTGCACCAACACTGTCGGCTCCTTCTTCTGTGAGGGTTGTAAAGCTGGCTACCGGCCCAGCCCCCTGGGCCACACCTGTGAAGGTAAGAGACCTCTCACACCCAGGAGAACTCAGGACACTAACCAGTCGACACTAACCAGTCAACCTTCAAGAGGGAAGGACCTGACCAAGGGCCCCTCTGCCTCCCTAGGGACACCTAAGTAGACCGGTTTGGGGACACCTATTCTTACCTCTCCCCACAAACTTGAGCAGGTGGGCCACTGCAGTTCCGGATCTTACAGAGCAAGTCCCTAAAGGGTGGTGGCGGGGAGCCTTTGTTAGATTCTCCTGGATCAGACCCAATATATCAGGCCCCAGAGGGAGGCTGGGGGCCAGTTTTCTAACAAGCTCTTAAAGGGTTCCTAGGGAGGGTGTATCTGGGGACCATGAAGAGTAGTTTACAGACAGCTAAAGAAACCCTCTCAATTTTCCAGACTCTCTCTTTGGCTTTCGTTCCAATGCTACGCTAACCTAGAACCGTGGTGTTTGGCCGTTCAGGCCGGGCTTCTGGGAGAGCCCCAGGGTCCCTGAGGTGGTGGGCCGAGGCAGCGGCTGGAGATCCACACACTTCATCGGGGGACGCGGCCTGTGGGTCCAGGCTACTCAGTCACCCTGGGAGGTGCTGCCCTCAGCTCCCCCTGTGTGGCCCTGCAGATGTGGACGAGTGTGCAGACCCTCAGAGCAGCTGCCAGGGAGGAGAATGCAGGAACATGGCAGGCTCCTACCAGTGTCTGTGTCCCCGGGGCTTCCAGCTGACCAACGGCTCGCTGTGTGAGGGTGAGCGATCCCTCCGCAGGGCGGGGCAGGGCGGGCAGTGTGCAGGGAGGCAGGGTACCCCCCTCCTCCCCGCTGACGCCAGGCCCATCCCCTCGCTGCAGACCTGAACGAGTGTGCCGGGGAGGAGTACTGCGCCCCACACGGCGAGTGTCTCAACAGCCACGGGTCCTTCTTCTGCCTCTGCGCTCCGGGCTTTGTCAGCTCAGCAGGGGGCACCCGCTGCCTGGGTGAGAGCCGACAATGACGGTGGGGTGTCCACTGCTGGGCAGCAGGGAGCGCTAGAGACCATGCTGGGATTGTCAAAAAAAACACAAAACCAATTACAGCTGGCTGCAGAAGAGCCCTCCCTCTGCTGCCCAAAGGCTGGGGGTCCGAGTCACCCAGAAGCATCTCTGAGAAAAGGCCTGGGGACTTCTCTCTAGGGATGTAGCCACTGGAGCCCCTGTGGAGTCCACTTCTACTCTGGGGTCACCAGGAGGCCCAGTCAACTTGGCAACTGGTTTTAGTGGTTTCCTGAGATGGCATGCTGCAGGCCCACTGGGGGTTGGGGGACTGGGAGGGAGGAGTTCGATGCCTCCTCAGGGCCTCTGTGTGAAGGGTAGGCTGACATGTGTTCCCCCCGGGAGTCCCAGCCTGGCTGCAGGCACCTAGCTCTGGGGTCTCCTTCCGAGCTGACCTGTTATTTTCCTGGCCCTAACGTGGGCACCTCGGGACCCGCCGCCACCGCCGGGCTGGTGATGTCTCCCCTTGTAGACGTGGACGAGTGTGCGGCCGCAGACCTGTGTCTGGGAGGCCACTGTGTCAACACGGAAGGATCCTTCCGCTGCCTGTGTGAGGCCGGCTTCCAGCTCGACCCAGAGAGCGGGCAGTGTGAGGGTAAGGGGCTGCCCCAGGCCTGCCCACCTCCGACTGTGCCTGCCTCGGCTCCCAGGAAGCACTGCGCTTTGCACAGATGATGAGCTCAGTGGCTCACCCCCTTTGTTGAGCTCCTGCTGGCTGTGCAGGCAGGGCCCACAAGCCACATTGATTCCAGTAGATCTTGATCGAACACAGGTTAGGTGGTTCGAGGTCTTTTACCAGCACACATGAGATCATTGTGGACAGTGTGGACATTGAATGAGGGGGCAGCTGTGAGGATAACCCTCTGTATGGCACGATGGTGAGGGTTTGATAGACCGAGAAGGGAGAAGTACTAGGTTGCGGGGTGTGGTGGTGGGGGTTGTGAGCGGCAGAGAGGGGTGGAGGAAAAGACAGCTGAGAGAGCTAACAGCTCTGTGCTTTCCTGACTAGCCTGTCCCTCATGGCCAGTGAACCTGAACTTGGGGTCCTGGGTTTGAGGAGAGCGCAGTAATTCAGAGCAGACCAAGCACACCAGAGACTGTGTAATACCAGACAGGCAGGGTCCAGAGCAGTGATTGGGCCACCTCTGACCCATCTCTGCCCTCTCGCATGGCCCCGGGGACAGATGTTGACGAGTGTGAGGGCTACGGAGACTCTGTGTGTGGCGCCTGGAAGTGTGAGAACAGCCCCGGCTCCTTCCGCTGTGTCCTGAGCTGCCAGCCTGGCTTCCACGGGACGCCCTCTGGGGACTGCATTGGTGAGTGGGAGGGGGTGGGGGGTGGGCGGGGGATTTAGGAACTAGAGGAAAGTT